TTAGTCATTCAGCCCAGCTCCTCTTCGCCGTCTCCCCTAATACAGTCCCACCAGGGCTGGAAGAAGGCGCAATATCAACCTCTTTCCTTATCTCCCTCCCAACCTCTTACGGCTGTTCTCCCACGAAAAGCGACCAGGCACAATAATCTAAGAAATCTTCAGCGCAGTGAGGCAGTCTTATTCCAGTCACGTTGGGAGGAGGATTCACGCCAGGCTCAGTGAGTAGGGCTTGCATCAGAGTGGAAGAGTCCGTGAGTTCCGGTGTTTCTCTGATCGACAGGAGTTTCACGGAAAGATAGAGGCAGGAGAAGGGGAGGAGAAGGGTGAAGCCAACGTAACCTATAAGGGAGGGGGGAGGTTTAGAGAGAGGTAGTGGGGAAGGAAGTACTGCGACCGATTTTCTTAACAACTATGATGTACTCTTGTCAAACTAGCCGACAAAGATAAATGCTGTAAACCTGGTCATGCACCTTTCCCTAATACCCCGCACGTTGCTATAAAAGGCAGATGCACATTCAAACGCTTTCAAAAGCTTGAGCGAGAGAGTACATGGCGTACTCAAGAGGACTAGCCAAAGAAATTCATTGAAAATGAATATTAACTGCCTATGCAGAAAAATCAAACAAATGAAAAATGTTAGGAGGGTCGGAAGCGAAGAAGTTGCTTAGCTTCCGTTCAGTATGGTTGAGTTACTGCGTTCTCTAGCTCAAAAATCCTGAGTAATCAACCGTTGTTTTTAATGTGTTTGATTTTCTGGACTAAACAAATATTGAATTATTTACAGGATTCCAAAACATATGCCTTCTCCAGAAAACCACCCCGTTGCTCTTTTTTCTGTGTGGGACTTCTTGAGGTGAAAAGCTGGAGTGCCTCTATTTTTTTCTAGAGAGGTGGACATTCGTGCTGTTCGTGGGAATATCGTTGTTATTGTAATGCTCTCAGTGACCCCACAAGGGGGCTCGTTGCTGAGAATATATGTGTGTGTTGTGCGAGAATGAAAAAGCAAACACGACATGGCCGCTGAACGGCCTGACCACTTCCCAGCCAACATCCTTGGAAAATCCGAGAGCACACAAAAAATTTCAATGGAAGCCTCTTCCTGGGACCTGGAGAAACAAGGCATAGCACACTTGAGGAGTCCACAATCGGGGAGCTGAACGTATTTCAGTCCTGAACAGCGAATCCCTGCCCAGGGACTCAAATAGCTTAGAAATAATAGTCTCCGGTATATAAAGAAGAAGCTGAAGCAGAAAAGAGGTCTGTACTGAGTATTAATGCGAAAAGGGGTGCAACTTCTGGAGTAGAGGCATTGCCATCTCTTTTATTATACTGTTAAGTGGACGAGTTCTTAGTGGACAGAGGGAAGTGTGGAGGGCAGGTGAAGCTTAACTTTCCGCGATCCCAAAAAAGCTCAAAGAAGAGGTGGAAGAACTTCATCAAGGCGGACTTCACACTAAAGTCAAGGCTCCGGCAAAAGATGCCTCGAATAAGAAAAACTGGCGACGTCCAGCAAGCTCAGCGGACCAAACGACAGCGCAGGATTAACGCTGGGGGTGGAAAGAGGAGGTGAAGCCAGACGTTTAGGCGGAAGGGGGTCATACTAGGGAAGAGGAAAACCTTGCTGAACAACTGGGGTTTATCTTCGCCATACATAGTATGTCCTTATCGGAAGTAGGAGATTCGAAGCGATGAGCCAGACGTGATTTTGGGGGAAGATTGTAAAATTGTGCACAAATGTTAGGCCAAGTTGTTTTATCGTAACCGTTTGACGATCCTTCACATCACGATTACTTCTTGAAGCGATGAGAAGGTCCAAAAGACGTCGCTCTCCACTATGAAACGCCGGAAATCGCATGAGCCAGAACATTCCATTTCCCTGAGCGAGAGCCAGGGGTTGCTCACTTGCTGATATACTCAATCGGCAGGATGAAAAGGACTCGATATTTGAGGAGGGACTCAAATATCGAGTGATCCTCGCGGATCGTTAGAGGATAAATGCCCATCCAGATGTCACAGTTGTTCCAAAATGGAAGTTGAGGCGCATCCTACGGCGCTATTAATGAACGGCTAATGTTCCATCGATATTTATGCAGTGATTTCTATGATTTCTATGACAATTAGCAGGAGAATCAAACTTTGTTTAGAAGAAGTTAATTACAAGCACGTAGTGAGAGAATACCCAGAATAGTTTGCTGAAGTAGTAATGTACAGTATGCTGGTCAATCATACTCCATTAAAAGCTTGAGAGGACGCATGGTGTATTCCAAATTGACTATTATGGTAGTGCACAAAACAAATGAGGCTCTCAATACTCAATATAGAAAGGGGAAAAGGTTCAGAACCCCTCTGGGATATTTTTGTTGCCTATATCTTGCTTACATGCAGGAGGCTTGGATGTTTTGATTAAGCTTTTCTCTTGCACATTTTTTTGTTTTTTCTTATAGATGTGAGCGTTCTATTTTGAATAATAAGTGTATCAGAGGCAGTTAGAAACAGGGCACGTCCTACGTTGGTGATCACCAGGTAAAGGAGGGGGTATTTGGTCGCTGGAGAGGGGAGGGTGTAGTACTTGCCGTTGAGAAAATATTCATGGTTGTTGACTTTTCTTGGTCTTTTCCTGTTCCGAGTATACAGGGGGGCCAAAAAAAAGTCATTTTGCCTCCATGACTTTCAAGGCGCTATAAGTTACACTTTATTAAATTTTTATCGGACATTTTTACTACCATATTAAAGAGCACATTAAATACTATAAACGTACTCCGCCACAGCCTTCTGGAGGAGACCATCGAGAGATTCTGGCACGCGACCGCGATGTGGTACCTGAGATCAGCGGGGTAGTCGTTTTCTCCGCCACCGTAGACCACCCTATTGAACTCCGCCCGAACTAGGTAATTGAGTGGATTCAGGTCAGGGGACATACTTCAATATTACATCTTCTTCAGATACGAAACGCCCTTCCATTCGAAAAGGCAGTGAGTTTGCTTTCAAACTTACTTCCCATTGTGTCGCACCCAAACCTGTAGCAGCACAAGGTCTGCAACAAGATATCGGGCGGACCATCATGTACGTCTTCTCGAGTTACTTGATGTAACCGCCAGCGCTCACCTTCAGTCGGGGTCTACAAAGAAAATATCGGTCTTCCCATTCCAGGTACGGCCGGTCCACACCATCAACCCGCGCCTTGGTGAATGGGGTGAAGATGATGTCCTGGACCGTAGCGACGTTGCCGGAGCTGCTCGATGTTTGGGGTCTTGCAGATCAAGAGTACTGGTCTCCAGGTAGCTATCCATGGGATTCCA